CCCCTCAGCCTCCCAAAGGCACGGGATTACAGGCTGAGCCACCGAGCCTGGCTCAAGAGCCACGTCTTATGCACTGCCCTGTCACCTCCCTACTTACGACACATGAACCTCTAGCTTCCCAGCTCCTGTTACTGGGGCAGAGGAAGTACCACAAACAGAAACCAGGCATTTCCACACAGTGGCCTGAGCCCTTTTGACCAATATTCAGGACATCTAATGATCTCTAAAGTAGTTGTCGACACTAGTGGTCCTTTAAGAGTTAGCTGGGGACATTTTGTAGCATGAATGCTTGGGTATTACCCACAGAGATTCTGATGTAGTCGGTGTGGCAGATAGTCTGGACATCAGATTTGAAAAAAAAATTTTCCTAGGTGATTCAAATGTGTAGCTCAGGTTGAGAACAACTACTCCAAATTTTCTGGGAATGGGGTTGTACCAGGGGCAAATTCTACCCACAGAGAATATGGTATTGACCTTATATGTCAACTACTGGTAACTCATTATTTTTAATTCTGCTACCAATAAAAAATGAATTCATTTATCCTTTAATACCATCAGTAGTTTCAGATTATAAATGTCCCATAAGAGATCAGAGCCAGTGTCTTATTTGTATGTATAACCCCCAGATCCTAATTTAGCATTCTTAAGCATTTATTTACTTCCAATCGGAAAATAATGATTAAGCCACATCCATCTCACAATGACAGGCTCTTAATGGAACACTCTATCTAAATCTATCTACTGATTATTGGTGAATTGAACACTTAACAGCTAGGCTTTGAGATAACAAAAGCAGCACACTCTGACCCTGCATTTTCTGGACATTTTCGGCAGATGTTCTAGAAGGATGAATGGTGAGAGATTTTATCTGACCTCTCCTAACGTGGGTCTGTGTGTATGACCCTGACACAGGCAGCATAACTGAAATGGCTCTGGGGCAAGGGCAAGAGAAGATTGAGGCACTTAAGCTTTGCTGACTGCTACAGAAATTGCAGTTGACTCCCTCACTCTGGTGTAATCATCAACTATTACCTGGTTAGTTTTGCCCTTTGTGGCATCCGGCCCACCCTGGCACTGGGCTGGACAGGTTCCCTGCTCTGGTTTGTGCTCTATGGTTCATTTATCCTTAGTCAGAGAGTTTGGTCATAAATTTCCCTATATATTTCCTCCTAGGATGAGGTCTGTTGTGACATCTCCTCAGACCTGACTCTAGATCCTATGTAGCTCTACTGCATTCCAACAGCTGGATGAGATGCCTTTCAGAGCTGGCAAAACCTGCTTTTTAAGGTATAGAAGAGAAAGAAAACACTGGCCTCTGAACACAATCAGGAACTGTGGGAAAAACAGAGGCCCATTAGCATCACAACAACCACTCTTGAAATCATTCCAAAGTTCATTTTCTTCATCTCTGTGAATCTTGCCTTTTCCCCAGCGTGAGTGGTTGGACTCTCCTGTCCTTTGGTCTTGAGGATCTGCCTTTAATCATTTACTTGATGCTACCCCAGGTTGATGAAACAACTCTTTTCCACTTCTGTTTTCTTAGCCCTGAGGACATATTTAATGTGGAACCCAACTACCTGAGGCATTTTTTTTCCTCAACGTAAAGCACAATAACCTCTCAATCCCAGTTTGTCTTCCCATGTTGTCCCTTTTGTGTTAGTGTACTAGAGACCAGGTTTTCGTTAAAATGTTTTCATTTAGAGAAGGCTAGGTCTTATCCTTACTTCCCTGGTCTGGACAATTGAAAGCATTCCTTACTCCAAATCTATCCCACGTCCCAGAATATTCTCAGTCATAAGGGAATGACATAGCTATGATTATTAATAATCCATTGTGAGACCGTGGCAAGTTGCAACCAATAATAAAGTGCCAATGTTTGTAATAATTTCCTCTATGAATCCAAATAGATTCAAGGATAGCCCTGTAGTAAGACCACAGTCACTCATAGATATTCCTGTGTGATTTGTTGAGATGGGAAGGGTGGAATCATAGTATGACTGGGTGTGTCTTGACCTCCAGCCCATGTCATCTATGATATAGCCCAAGTCAAACCACTGCCATGTCTGACAGCCTCTACACAGTTGAGTAGACATTATTGTAGTGTTTTAATATTCATAGGACTGTATATGTGATCCTAGGCTAAAAAAGGCCCACAGCCAAAAAGTGCCAATCAAATTTCTATGAGTGGTAACATCTGATTTTTTTTTTGAGTTGGAGTCTCACTGTCGCCCAGACTGGAGTGCAGTGGCCGTTCCCGGCCACCGCAGCCTCGATCTGCTGGGCTCTGGTGATCCTTCCGCCTCAGCCTTCCGAGTAGCCGGAATTACAGGCATGCGCTACCATGCCCAGTTGATTTTTTGATTTATTGTAGAGATGAGGTCTCGCTGCCCAGGCGGGTCTCGAACCCGCAGGCTCAGGCAATCCACTCACCTCAGCCTCCCAAAGGCGCGGGATTACAGGCTGAGCCACCGAGCCCAGCTCAACATCTGATTTTTTAAAAAATGTACTTATTTTGTATCAGAGTCTCACTCTGTTGTCCAGGATGGAGCGAAGTGGCATTACTGAGCAATCATGACTCATGGCATCTTTGACCTTCTGGGCTCAGGAAATCCTGGGATTTCAACAGGCGAAATAGTAGCTGGGAGTACAATAGGTGCAAGCCACAATGCCTATCTAAATGTAAAAAATATATACAATTTTGTAGAGACAAAGTTTGGTTTTGAACTCCTGTGCTCAAGCAATCTGCCTGCCTTGGCCTCCAAAACTGCTGAGATTACAGGCATGAGCCAGCTATCTTGACTGGATGTTTAAAGAACCAAGAAAGCTAAGATTTTGTATAATACCAAGTACCACCTGTAATCCTAGCACTTTCCAAGCCCAGGAGTTTGAGACCAGTCTGGGCATCATAGGAAGACCGCATCTCTACCAAGCAAACAGACAGAGCCAAGCATGGTTGTGCACCCCTGTAGTCCCAGCTATTCAAGAGACTGAAGTGGAAGGATCGCCAGAGCCTAGGAGGTAGAGGCTATGGTGAGCTGTAATCATGCCACTGCCCTCCAGTCTGGGCGACAGACTGACTCAGAAAAAAAAAGAAAAACTATCTAATATATTGAATAGAAAACACATTTTAGATTGAAAATGCGAGAGCATACTATATTGTCTGGGTACTATATACATGCTTTATTATTCTTGTGTTAAATTACGATAATCCTGTTAGAGAAGTTTCACAAAACTCCTTAAATATAAATGAACTCCTTTGGTGCAGGAAATATTTTGATGGCTGATTTTGCCAAGCCAGTCCTAGTGATTAATATAATGACACATGTCACAGCTGGACTGCTCTCACATCCAAAATATGTTCTAAGAAGGAAGCAACTTCAGAACTTTTATTTTCTATGCCTTGTTATCATTGCTAAATAACTCCTATCCCTACAGGCATAAGCCTTTGAAGCAGATGAACAGATAACTCCCAATTTGTAGGTATCTTGAATAAACCATCTTTAATGCCATTTTCTTTTACTTATAAAGGAGGAAAATTATTTTAAAGACCTGAGCATCAGCTACATAGCAGAGAAAAAAGAGAAAAAATATATTCTCAATCACAATTACATTATATTCTTTGGCACTGACATCTTTGGCTGATCTGAAATACTAAGAATAAATAAAAACATTGAACTTTAGTTTGGCTTGATGAAATTTTTAAAAAGGCAATTCAGGTTGTCATTTATAATTTTAGAGTCTATTTCACATATATAATGTTGTGTTACTAAGCAATGAACACTTTCATAAAAAATTTTTATTTCACACTTTTATACAAATATCCACAGGTATTTTCTAATCATGAAATAATTTTTACAATGCAAATTAGTACAAAAATGTATCAAATGCAAACAGACCAGTGACTTGACTTGAGATGACATTTTTAACAATTATAAATTTAAACACCATAACATTCTTGTTTTTTTGTTGTTAAACCCTCCCAACCCCCTTTATCAGGACATTCATTTTTATAACAAAGGTCTATAAACACTGTCAAAAATATCAGCTCCTTAGCAACCTAAAAGCCAGAGCATTAGGCTCCAAGTTAACGCGGCAAGAAACTGACACTTGAAACATGGTTAAAACCTGTTTTAGAGAAACTTTTGTAAACATAATCATTTGTAAAACCATTTTTGGTAAAACTATTTTTGCAAATAAGAATTCCAAAGTACAACCAAAATAACATCCTTAGTCTCTTAAGGGTATAAGATTTCTGAAAAGAAAAAACAAAAACAAAAAAAGCCAAAGCAACAATGGCATATACAACTGTATTTTGTTCTTTTAAAAGATTGAGACACTGCTTATGCTATATCCAAACAAATTAGCACCTGTTTGCTGTTAGTCCCCACAAAATGTTTTGAAGCATAGTCGTTAAAAAAAAATCAGCTTTCCAGCCGGGCTCGGTGGCTCAGCCTGTCATCCCATGCCTTTGGGAGGCTAAGGTGAGTGGATTGCCTGAGCCCGTGGGCTCGAAAACTGCCTAGGCAGCGAGACCTCATCTCTACAATAAATCAAAAAATCAGCCGGGCGTGGTAGTGCATGCCTGTAATTTCGGCTACTTGGAAGGCTGAGGTGGAAGGATTGCCAGAGCCCAGAAGGTCGAGGCTGCGGTGGCTGGGAGCGGCCACTGCACTCCAGTCTGGGCAACAGAGTGAGACTCCAACTCAAAAAAAAAAAAAAAAAATCAGTTTTCATATCTACTCAATCTTTATGTATAGAGTAATAATTGTCCCCTCCTTCCATCATTTTTCCAATTACAAAACAATTTAAAGTTGTTAAATTAGTCCCAAAGTAATTCTGGAAATATAGATAGGGGAGAAAACAAAACAAAAAATAGAACATCAACTTACTGATCAAATGGCTCCAATAACATTTAAAAACTTAAAAGTTATAATGTTCTGCCTGATAGAATCACTGTTTTGACTGGTTATGGTGGCTCATGCCTATAATCCCAGCATTTTGGGAGGTGGAGGTGAGAGGATTGTCTGAGCTCAGGTGTTTGAGACCAGCCTGAGCAACATGGCAAGACCTTGTCTCTACAATAAACCAAAAATTAGCCAAGCATGTGGCGCATGCCTGTGGTTCCAGCTACTTGGAAGGCTGAGGTGGAAGGGTCACCTGAGCCCAGCAGGTCAAGGCTATGGTGGCGTGGCTGTGAGCGTGCCACTGCACTTCAGCCTGGGCAAGAGAGTGTGACTCCAACTCCAAAAAAAAAAACCAAAAAGCTGAGCTCAGTGGTTCAGCCTGTAATCCCAGTGCTTTGGGAGGCTGAGGTGAGTGGATTGCCTGAGCCCAAGGGTTCAAGACCTGCCTGGGCAACTTGGCGAGACCTCATCTCTACAATAAATCAAAAATTAGCTGGGCGTGGTAGCGCACGCCTGTAGTTCCAGCTACTTGGAAGGCTGAGGCGGAAGGATCGCCAGAGCCCAGCAGGTCAAGGCTGCGGTTGCTGGGAGCAGCCATTGTACTCCAGTCTGGGCGACAGAGTGAGACTCCAACTCAAAAAAAAAAAGTCACCATTTTGGTAGTAGATATTCATTCAGTAGTCTTACACTGGATCAGTTTGGATCCACCATAGGCACTCACCATTCCTTTCAAGTCCTAAATATACAGTATTTGCAGCAGTGAGTAAACTGCACTAGAGATCAATGAACAAACCCATTTTCTCCAAGAAAAGTTACAGCACATTTTCTCCTGCAAGTTATAGCACAAAATTCAGAAATAATCACACTGGGCTCTCAACTAAAAAATATCCAACACCTGAAATAATTAAACATCTTATAGTTAATCCTATTTCTTAAACAAACTTTTTGGGTTGCAGGGGGTGGGGGTGTCTGCCATGCAGGAGATGTTATAATTTACAGATAAGTTATTAAAACAACTCTCTGGAATATTTATAAAGATTTATTATTTCCTTTTTGCAGTAAATAATTTAGAACAAACTGACGACCTCTCATATTCCAATTCCGATTGCTTAAACCAACCTGAAGAATATACTGGAGAATCTTTGGCCTTGTTAGTCAATAGCAAAATGGTTTGTAAAAAAAGAAAAAATAAATATCATATACAAGTAAGTATAAGTAGCATTCCAGTCTGCTGTGCCTGTGTGTTTTAGTGAAAGGGAGAATGAAACCTGTATGCATTTGGCATGAGCAAGTATTCACACATCTAGGAAACGGAAAAAGATGGCAGGATGGCAACATCACCTCCTATATTGCACATTTCACATACGACAGCACTTTCAATTGAAACACAACTACCCTGATGGCATAGTCCCGTGATGCGGGTCAGTGAACTCCAAGGATGTTTGCCGCGGCAGTGCTGAGGTTAGGACGGCCACTCTGTTAGTATGGGTGACTGTGGGTGCCTTCCTCCAGCTACACTACTGGGAGGATGTCGTCTGAGTGCAACTGGGCAGGCCCTTCCCCAGCACGTGTAAGTCAGCCACACCAAAAACAAAGGCAACCCGGAAAGTTAAATTAAGGCAGTTAAAGAAAAGTCCATTCCAACAGTTTAAAATTTGGTTGTGCAAAACAGGAGCCTTAGGCTACGTAACAATATCCACAGTTAAAACTGTAGGTTCGTACTGTGTGTAGTCACTTCTGAAATATGTCCTCGGTACTGGACAGGTTTTTGAATCCACCTGAATTTCTTGAGTTGGAAAAATAAAAGCAGTTTGGGTACTGTGAAGATTATTTTTGGCCCTCCTATGAGTAGCTTTCATTTTCATTCCACTTTGTGATCCACTGTTTTTTTTCAAGGTTATCATTATGTTTTTCATCTTTGATCTCTCGCTCTTCTTTCCGGATCCTTACAGCATGGTATCGGGGAACACTATCATCGTACCTAGAGCGTTTAAAGAATCCACACTGGAGAAAGGAGAAAGAGAAACAGGAACAAATGAATTAATCTCAAGAAAAGCAAGTGCACTAAATAGGAATGTCTAAGCTTTCTGTTCAGCTATGTCTACCTTTGGACTAAGAGAAAAAAGACATGGTTTTCTTTTAAGAAAGAATCAGTAGGTTGAAAATAAAGAACAGCCAATGGGGATCAACTGAAGAGACCATCAACTGCAAAACTGGAAGAAAAGTCCATTTTCACCTTGTCTTTATGTTTTAACGATGTAAGCTCCCTCTTCACTAACAATCTAAGAGTTTATGAAACAGTACGTCCATTTTAAAAATCGTTGCGATATGTAAAAGATCTAATTTTCAGTTATTAGAACATAACTTTCAGGAAACGTTTTTAAAGGCATAAAACCAAAGATTCTTTCATGCCCTTCTCCTGCTAATAAAATAGAAATCAGGTCACAGATATTTTACAAATTACTACTATTTGGATATGCCTATGTACCAATAGGTCAATTTAAGAATCTTCTCTCCTCTAAGGCTCTAGTACACACACATATCACATCTCTCATCGGCTAGGAGGTAATTTATGTTGCCTGGATTTGCTTTTGTGCTTCCAATTAAGCTGTTAAATTAATGAATCACATAGAAACTGTGCTTTGCAATAAAATCAATCATGTACCACAGAACACTCCCTAATTTTTTTTTTGCAAAAAGAGAATATTTACATTTAGATTATTGATGAATATATTTTCTTCATTTAAAAAAAAATTCAATTTGACCCAAAGTATATTTTTATTGAGAATGTCTAAAACTTTTGAATCATATTAAATTTTTTAAATGAATAAAATATGTAGGCAGCTTAGAAGAATGAGAATGATACTTAGAATGGTCAATTAATATGTTTATTATGTGACATCAACAGGAATAGAACACTTACGCTGTGGTGCAAGATAAAATTGAATGCATAGTTTTTAGTAAATCAACTGGCAAAATAGACCAAGAAGTTTGTTCTAGGTCATTTCTATGTGGGCACATTTATTATTCTGTGCAAAAAAGCCAAAGTACCAATCTATTACAAAATATGACTGCTGCTTGCCCCATTTAAACAAAGAAGGAAATTAAGGGTGACATGGAAAACAGAAATGGCAATGTTGGAATTCATCATGACAGTGCCATGGAAAGTGATTATAGGAGTAATTCTGTCCTCTCATGCCCATGTAAATGGAAAAAGGAATCCCCAGCAATTCCTGTTTCCACAGATTTACAAATAAGAGAAGCAAAACATGAATTTAAAATCAACTGAGACCCAAGGTTGAATAAGCTCTCTAGGAACATGAAACATGGTCAAACTCCATTACAACATAGTAAATTATAAACTACTCAGGGCATTTTTTGTAACAGAATTTTGTGTATTAAAGGTAACTTTGATAGAGGATTATCTTCTGAAGTTGGTCATAAAGCCCATCATGCTGATACTCATAGTTTGTTGTAATGGTCTTTGACCCGTAGGAGACACACAGGAAATGGAAGTTGCATGCTAAGCCAGCTAAAATGATTTCTGTACAACAGTAAAAAGCATTGCAAGCCTTCCCCATCACTTATTAGCAAGGAGAACAAAAAGATGACAGTCAGGAAGCCACCTCATCAAGAAAAACTATATTTCCAACATGCAACAGGTTAATAAGGCAGTCAGCACAGCTTCTGTGGGAAATACCAAAATGAACAAGAAACCAGAAATGATTTCTTATGCATCTTTGAACTTCCGAGTGGGATACTATATACTGGATCGACACATGGCAAGCCAGGCTACTGTGGAGGTCTAAAGCCTCCTTCTGTATGTACAAGATTGCCATTTTCTTCATTGCTATGGGTGATGCTCGACAATAACACAAAACAACTCACCTGCAACAGAAGATTCTTTGTGTATTTAAAAACAAACAAACCATGAGCTTCAAGTAAAAGAAATACAATAACATCCAAGCAAGGCAAGCCATTGTGGACATTTGGAAACAACTGTTAATGGGACACACATAGCAAGCGGTTGCTCTTAAAGTTAGCCACCACAACCATAGCAGGTCCCACAGCTAGCAATTAAAAAAAAACATTGATCAATTACCAATTACAGAAGTAGATCAATACTACGCATCAGAAGTAAGCCTCTCTTTATCAGACGGCTGAGCATGGATCTCAGCCTTGTGATATGTGGCATCATAATGATTTTTCTTATTTCTCTTGAAGAAACCACACTACAAGGAAGCAAGGTATTTAGTCAATGTTACAGTTTTGTGTATCAGAGCTAAAGAACAGAACATCTCAGATTTTAACCTGTTTTCCATTTACTGCTTGTTTACAAAGAGACCACTTTTGATCAACCAAAAGTGAACAGCCACTGTAGTATGTTCCATTGTGACATTCAACACACTCTATCACCATGGGTCTCTGATCAAATATTTATGCAAATGGCGCTAGTCAGCTAATTGATTTTTCTATTTGTAACAGAAATGCTAAGGACAAAAATCATTCTGAAAAGGAAAATGTATTACACATCTGATTACAGCTTTGGGTGGTTTCTTCTGGCAGCAGAATACGAACTCCAAGAGGCAAAAGGTTGACTTCTGCAGTTTATTGAGACAAAGGTTGGAAAATAAATTCTCTAAGTAAAAGTTAGCACAAATCCAAATAAAATATAGATAAACGGTGAGTATTTTTCTGCCTTTTACAGTACATTTTATGGAACAAGTACCATCAACTTGAGGCCTTTGGATCTGTGGGGTGAGTCACAATACAGATTCGAATACACTATCATGAAAGAATGATTGCTGTCATTTTCCCAAATTCTGAACCACCATGTGACCCTTAAATGGTAGGGACCCCATGCTCCTCAGGTTAGGTCACTTTAAATGAGTATAAACGTATAATTCTACTTTCTATTATAGTTTCCTTCATTCAATGATAGAGACCTTTTCCTATTTACTTGTATCTAGTTCATAAGGCCATGGAACTGCCTTTTATAAAATATAACTTGGTCAAATCTCTCCTGGAAAATTCTGCTTTCTACTCTGGCAACTCATGATAAAAATCTAGATTTGCTATGTACAATATGGCAGCTACTAGTTCCATGAGACTATTTAAATGACATTACATTTAAAATTAATCACACTGGCTGCGTTTCAAGTGCTCAATAGGCACATGTGAATAATGGCTACCATTTTGGACAGTGCAGCTCCAGAACATTTCCATCATTGCAGAAGATTTTATTAGGCAGTGTTAATCTAGACTCTTCATCTTTATATTGATTTGTGACTCTCAATGTAACTTAATACATAGTGAATACACCTAGCCAACTTTCAATAATATGTGCTAGTAAGTAGGGTGGAAAGAATGAACCAGAAACTAAGAGTCCTGCCTCCAACTTAGCAACAGTCTTTTTTTTTTTTAAATAAAGATGTGGGGTACAATTCATAATTAGGATGTAAGTGGTCATCATACAGGTAAAGTTTGGGACTACCTTTGGTCCCCACTTTGCCTGGTTTGAGATTAGGTGCCCTTATTGTTATGTGCAACCCCCTCCCTCCTCTGGCAGTTTCCTGCTGCCAATTCCTTTCTTATAGTATAAAGGTAAATGTTCAGGGTCTGCTTATGAGTGAGAACATGTGGTACTCAGTTATTTGTTTCTGTGATAAATCACTGAGTATTATAGACTCTAAATCCATTCAAGTTGTGGCAACATTCTTAATATTCCTGGGCATGAGCATCTTTATTGGTAAAATAAAGGTGATTGGACCAGCTCAGGGTGTTTTTTTTTTTTTTACCTCCAAACAAAATACTGTGCAGAATCTTGAATTTTAAAACAGATAAAATTTGAACTGCTCTGATTGAAGTGGGGATCCCCATCTGCCTAGTTTAACTTTGCTACTGACCATGGATATATAAAACTCAATTTAAGGGTCACTGAACTAGAATACTTTCTGAACCTAAAATCCTATAACATATAAAAGCAAAAAAAATTTAGTTGAAGAAAGAAAAGTATAAAATAATAAAAAAAGATTTTCCTTTAATGTTGTATAAGTTATCTGATTATTCTAAGTCCCTCTGACAATCTGCATATTTTAGAGCTTCAACACACACACACACACACACACACACACACACACACAATTAAGTCATTTAGTTCAATCCACTTATTAAACAGATGAGACAAACAGCAGCTCCAGAAAGGTGGAATGATTTGCACAAGATTATACATGGCTTGGTTTCCTTAACTCTCAACCCATTGCTGTCTCACTCATTGAGGGCTGCCAATAAGACTCTGAAAAAAGAATATCCTTGTGACTTCTTACAGAAAATACAATATCATTCTTAAATATGAAACTCCAACATTTAATTTTTATTTATTTATTTATTTCTATTTTTTGAGTTAGAATCCCCCACGCTGAAGTACATTGGCATACTCATGGCCACTGCAGCCTCGACCTACTGGGCTCAGGTGATCCTTCCACCTCAGCCTACCAAGTAGCTGGAACCACAGGTGCGCACCACCACACCTGGCTAATTTTTTCATTTACTGTAGAGATAAGGTCTCACCAAGTTGCCCAGGCTGGTCTAGAACCCCTGGGCTCAGGCAATCCTCTTGCGTTGGCCTCCCAAAGTGCTGGGATTACAGGCTTGAGCCACTAAGCCTGGCCTCAAATTTAATTTTTAAATCAAAATAATATTCGTGGCATCTCCTATATTTGCTGGCCATGTTTGTCAGAGGAACCTACAGGCTGAGGTAAACATCAGAGGTAAAACTGAATAAAATCCTACGCCAGGAGGAGTTTTGTGAAGAGCAGATATTAGGCTTCAATTACATGTCTAGAAGACAACAGATAAATTATCTCAGATTAGCCGGGCTTGGTGGCTCAGTCTGTAATCTCGCGCCTTTGGGAGGCTGAGGTGAGTGGATTGCCTGAGCCCGGGGGTG